AAGACAGACCTACCTCAAGAAACAAAGAAATCTCAAATGAACTTTGTACCTAACTTTGTACCTAAAGGTATAAACTTTGTACCTAACTTTGTACCTAAAGGAAACTAGAAAAAAAGAAGAAGAAACAAAGCCCAAAATTAGTAGAAAGAGGGACATAATAAAGATCAGAGTGGAAATAAGTGAAATAAAAATGAAAAACAAACAAATAAACAAACATACCAATAGAAAAGATCAGTGAAATTAAAAGATAACTGAAATTGACAAAACTTTAGCTACACTCAGCACCAAAAAGGGGGGAGGGGTCAAATAAAATCGGAAATGAAAGAGAAGTTAGAACTCATGCCACAGAAATAAAAGGGATTGCAAAAGACTACTATGAACAATTACATGCCAACAAACTGGACAACCTGGTAGAAATGGATTAATTCCTAGAAACTTAGAATCTTCCAAGACTGAATTATGGAGAAATAGAAAATCTGAATAGACCAAATACTATTATGGAGATTGAATCAGTAATCAAAAATTTCCCAACAAACTAGATGGCTTCATTGGTTAATTGTACCAAACATTCAAAGATTTAATACCTACTCTCAAATTTCCAAAAATATAAATAGGAAGGAATGTTTCTAAACTTATTTTAAGAAACCAGCATTACTCTTATACCCAAACTGGACAAGGACAACACAAAAAAGAAAATTGTAGGCTGGGGCGCCTGGGTGGCTCAGTCAGTTGAATGCCCGACTTCAGCTCAGGTGACGATCTCACAGTTCATGGGTTTGAGCCCTGTATTGGGCTCTGTGCTGACAGCTTGGAGCCTGGAGACTACTTTGGATTCTGTGTCTCCCTCTCTCTCTGCCCCTTCCCTGCTCGTATTCTGTCTCTCTCTTCTCTCTCTCTCTCAAAAATATATAAACCTTAAAAAATTAAAAAAAAAAAAAAGAAAATTATAGGCCAATATCCCCAATGAGCATAGATGTAAAAATCTTCAACAAAATGTTACCAAACCAAATTTAACAATACATTAAAAGGATCATACACCATTATCAAGCTGGATTTATTACAGGGATACAAGATTCAACAACTACAAGTCAATCAATATAATATACCACATTAACAAAAGTGAAAGGTAGAAATCATATGATCATCTCAATAGATGTAGAAAATGCATTTGATAAAATTCAACATCAACTTATGATAAAAACTCTGAAAAAACTGGTATAGTGGGAATGTACCTGGACATAATCAAGGTCATATGTGACAAACCCACAGGTAATACCATGTTCAACAGTATAAAGCTGAAACCTTTTCCTCTAAGATCAGGAATAAGACAAGGATGTCCACTCCCCCCACTTTTATTCAACATAGTATTGCAAATTGTAGCCATAGCAATTAAACAAGAAAAATAAATAAAAGGTGTAAGTTGGACAGGCAGAAGCAAAATGGTCACTATTTGCAAATGACCTGATACTATATATAAGAAACCCTAAAGACTCCACCAAAAAAAATACCTGTTAGAACTAAAAATGAATTCAGTAAAGTAACAGAATACAAAATCAATATGAAAATATCTGTCATGTTTCTACACACTGTAAAAGTATCAGAAAGAGAAATAAAAAAAAAAAACAACTCCAATTTACAATTGCATCCAAAAGAATAAAATACCTAGTAAAAATTTTAACATAGGAGATTAAAGATTTGTACATTTAAAACTATAAGACCCCAGTGAAAGATTTTGAGGACAGAAATAAATGGTAAGATACGTCATGCTATGGATTAGAAAAATAACTATTGTCAAAATGTCCATCCTTCCCAAAGCAATCTACAGATTCAACACCATCCCTATCAAAACTCCAATGACATTTTTCATATAAGTAGAAGAAAGAATTCTAAAATTTATATGGAACCACAAAGGACTCCAAATAGCCAAAACAATCTTGACAAAGAAGACCAAAGCTGTAGGCATCATGTTTCCTGATTTCAAACCATAGCTACAAACTTATAGTAATCAAAATACAATATGGTATTGGCATAAAAACAGACACATAGATCACTGGAACAAAATAGAGAGTCTTAATTTATGACAAAGGAGCAAAAACATACAATGGAGAAATGATGATGTCTTCAATAAATGGTGCTGGGAAAACTGGACAGCTACAGGCAAAGGAAGGAAACTGGACCACTATCTTACAGCATACACAAAAATTAACTCAAAATTGATTAAAGACTTGAAGGAGATACCTGAATCCATAAAAATCCTGGAAGAAAATATAGAACATAAGCTCTTTGAAATCAGTTGTGTGTATATTTTTTTGGATCTGACTCTAAGGCAAAAGCAAAAAAACAAAAATAAATACATAGGACATTAAACTGAAAAGCTTCTGTATAGCAAAGAAAACAATTAACAAAACCACGAGGCAACCTACCGAAAGGGAGAAGATATTTGGAAATCATATATCTGATAACAGGCTAATATTCAAAATATATAAATAACTCATACAACTCAACAACAGTGGCAGCAACAATAAAAATAATTTGATTGAAACATGGGCATAAAATCTGAATGGACATCTTTCCAAAGAAGACATACAGACAGCCAACAGGTACATGAAAAGATGTTTAACATCACTAATCATCAAGGAAATGAAAATCAAAACCACAATAAGCTATCACTTTACACTTGTCAGAATGGTTATTGTCAAAATGACAAGAAATAACAAGTGTTGGCGAGGATGTGGAGAACAAGCAGTTCTCATGCACTGATGTTGAGAATGCAAACTGATGCAGCCACTATAGTAAATAGCATGGAGGTTCCTCAAAAAATTTAAAAAAGGAAGGACCATATGATCCAGTAATTCCACAACTGGCTATCTATCTGAAAAAGATTAAAATGCTAATTCAAAAAAGACATGCACCCGTATGTTCACTGCAGCATTATTTACAATAGCCAACGTATGCTAACAACTTAAGTGTCCATCAGTGCATGAATGGATAAAGAAGATGTCACACACACACACACACACACACACACACACACAGAAGAATAATACTCAGCCATAAAAAAAGAAGGAAATCTTGCCATTTGCAACAACATGGACAGACCATGAGGGAGTTATGCTAAGTAGTATGAGTCAGTCATAGAAAGACAAATACCACATGATTTCACTTACATGTAGAATCTAAAACTCAAAGCAAACAAACAGAACAAACGAAACCCAGACTCAGAGGTACCGAGAAAAGATTGGTGTTGCCAAAAGGGAGGGGCTTGGGGTATGGACAAAACGGGTGAAGAAGATCAAGAAGTAAAATAATCTGGATATCAAATAAAGATGTCACGGGGATGTAATGTGCGGCTTGGAGAATATAGACTATAATATTAATGGACAATAATGCTGTATGGTGGCAGACAGTAACTAGACTTATTATGGTGACCATTTTGCAAGGTACACAAATGTTGAATTGTAGGTCATATACCTGAAATGAATATAATATTGCATGTCGATTACACTTTAATAAAAATATTTAGACAAAAAATAACTCAAAACTCCAATTCATTCTGAGAAACGACCAGTTCTGATTGAACATGCCAAAGAAAATAAGTAATCCCACATCTCTTAGTCCCTCTAAAGTCAACATAAAACCTTAAAACTTCCTCAAAATGGAAGGTGTGATTATTTCTCCTTTCGAACTAAAAGCAAAATAAAAGGAAGCAAAAAAAAAAAAAAAAAAAAAAAAAAAAAAAAAAAAAACCTGTAAAATTGTATAGGGGCTTCAAAATTGAGTGAAAAAATAGAATAGTCCCCAAAAGCCTATTTTTAAAATGAAGAAAACACATGCTTTCTGAAAATAATTCAACGTAATATTATAGGCAACCCAGAATAAAGATGATAATAATACTATTCTCAAGATGCAATCTGTTCATGACTAATCTTAATCCTCAGTTTACTATTATTTTCAATTAGCAATATTGATTAGTAGGAGGTTAGCAAAAAGCAATAAACATAAAATAGGAAAATTTTTTTTTGCCAACAAAGCAGGGCCAACACAGACAAATGTAGACCAATACCAGTTTGAAAACAAACTTGGAATTAATTTCACGGGAAAAACATGTAGGGAGATTATGAGAAAGACAGATAATTCTATCAATTGTCAAATCTTCACATTATATGCACATTGGGAGAAAAATAAATATTTGGAGATGTTTTTCCCTAAATTGTAAGCAACGCAAATGAATACATTTTTTTAATCCAGTGCATGAGTTTCTAAAGCTTCCTCCAGATACCTCTTGCTATGTGCTCTCCCTTTCTAACCTCAGTCTGGGGACAGCCTTTCACTAACAAGAGAAGGTCAAGAGGTTGGGCCTTGTGGTAGGGAAGGAAAGTTCTTTTTCACAACTTGGAGAAAAGTCTCCTTCGCTTCCTAGCTGCTGATTATTTATAAAGACAGAATGAGTTTACAGTTTGTAGTTGCCTTGTATTTTTAAACATTTTCATTCCTTTTAAATCTTGATAGAGGCTGTTGAGCACAGCGGTTTCAATGTCAGACCTGATTACAGATTCTAATGCCAAGATTTACGAATTGTGCAATATCAGTCAAATTACATAACTGAGCTAGTTGGGGCACTACAAAGTGTGCAAAGAGCTTGGTACATAATAAACAAGTGAGTAAATACTACTCAATAAATCAATACATTGTCACTAACAATCAGAGTCTTGTAGCATCCTTCTGGTTTTATGGACGAAGGAACTGATGCCTAGTCAGTGAATTACTCAAGTTACCAGAAGAGAAGGAAAACACTAAACTTTTGCAACAGACATCCTAATTTCCCTTCGAACGAGAGCCATGCTGGAGATAGGACCCATATACGATCTAATTATTTCTGAATGGGTACTCAATAGTTCCTAAGCTACCAACAATCTGGGTATAGGAAAATGATAGAAACGCTCACTGGTTACCATTACCACATCTCAGTTTTATTCACCAGAAGAGAAAAGATGTCCTACCCAGATGCTGTCTTCTTGCTTGTACTGTTTCCAGTTGCGTCCTGTGTCACTGAACATCAGGCTGTAACTTGTCACCCAGTCAGAGCTTCCATATCTGCCCTGCGTGGCCACTGCTGTAATCTCCACTCTGTTTCCCAGGTCCATCTGGAGCCACTGTTGAGCATTGGAATCTGCTGGGGACCAACCACCAGTTCCTGGAAGAAGATCAGAGAGAGTGGGTTGTAGTAACATCTCACAGGGCCACACCTTACAGCTCTCAAAGAGAAATGAAATGGTGTTCCACTGACATGTCTTTATCCCCAAACGTGCCCTGCTCACGCTTACTGGGCTCAATTTCCATTCTCTTCCATTCTATTCCCTCTCATGCTTCAAGATTCATCTCAAATCCATGCTGTTCCTTCCATAAGTCTTCTGGTCTTTCCTCAGTCATTACACTTTCCATTTTCTGGATTCCTAGTAGAATTGGCTTTGTTTATTTATTTTTATTTGCTTATTGCCTTAACCTTGTAACATGTTTTCTATCCTCCGCCTGATTGTCATCTCCTTCCTGCTTTTCTTCATTCTTTCATCCCTCTCTGTGTTTTCTCTACACCTACCATGGGCCAGGCTCCTTTTTCTTTCTTTCCTTCTTTTGTTGTGGATACAAAGATGAAAGTTCATGGACTATATCTTTGACTCCTGTGACCAAAGACACAGACAAAAATATGCAATGTGATATGACGAGAAGCCTTATGAAAGGCAAACAGAAGGTACAACAGGAGCACAGAGGACACAACGCCTAGCTAGGTGATTGGAAAGGCCTATAGATAGGGATGGTGGAGCTTAAACCTGAAGCAAATATAACCGTTTTGCAGGCAAACAAGGTTAACTAGAGGAAACATTGGAGAGATCGGCCAGGCCAAGGGAACATCATTGCAAAATCTCAGAAGGACATCAGAGTGGGCTGTGTTTCTGGATCTTCTTGGGATTCAGAGTACTTGACACACAGGAACATGCTTACATGTGACAAAAGACTTTGGGCCCAGTATTTCATTATTTGACACCCTGGAACTCTGCAGAAGATCAATATTAGCTCTTGCTTAGTGGGAAGACCGTGGCCTCAGTTTTCTATTTTCATTTCACATAGGAACAAAGAAGTTAATAATCATTTTTACTGACCCAAGAGTTCACAGACCTTCTGAATCCTGAGTGGAAACTATGGCAGAGTGCGTACGCCTTGGGTGGGGACAAGATGAAAACAACACCTCTGTTAGGCACCTTGCTCAGGGCATCGAGTTGGGGAGTTAGTTAAAATTATAATTTAGAAGGTTTAATCAATAAATTCCTTTTTGAGCTCAACCTGTGTCACTGAAAATCATTTTAGTCATGTCCCAGTCTACTTTCTCACTATCTCGGAAGGAGTCAATGGGACTTCTCCTTGGTAACCGAGAACTTTCCTGAGCCCTGGCTGCCCAGTGCAGATGGCCTCTCATCGATGGGTGCGGATATGCAGACACAGGAGATACACGACATGAGGTGGGCCCTACTTTGGTCACAGGCACATCCTACAGGTTGTGGGTTGATTTTCTCCTAACAAATAGCTACTACTCTTAAGCGTTGAAATGCAGAAACAGGAAAAGAAGGAACATTCTCAGTATCTACTGTGGAATGTATTTTATTATATATTTTGCAAGACATGAATACAGTGGCAGATGTGGCTGACTTCCCTACTATCCATTATCTCTTCTTCTGTGGTGGTTGTGAGGCTCAATTTCATTTTTCAGCTCTCTACACTATTAGAGTTGTAGCCACATACATGGCTATAGTTCCCTCCAATAAAAATGTGACTACGAAGACGTGCCCCTTGCAAGCCAACAAATCTCTTCCCCACTTGCTTTCCCTTTCTACTGACGGATCCAGTTGGCACCAAGGCCCTAGCTGATGGCAGGATGACAGCTTGGAAAGAGACTGGATTCCTGTATCATCACATGGAGGAAAGCAGCTGTCTACTTAAACGCCTGCCCCATATTATAATATGAACAAGAACGAAACATCTATGCTGTTTGAGACATTGGTGGCACATTGGAATTTATTTGATATTGCAGTTCAGCCTACTTTAAATACATGCATAATACCCTGTGAGATAAAAAGCACAATTCTCATAATATAGTCAGGGAGACTGAGATCCAGCAAGTTTAGAACACCTGGCACTCAGAGTTTAATCATAGCTCTTTGAGGCTAATATGTAGCAGAAGAAAAAAAAAAGTTTCTAAAAGCCCAGAAAATCAATAAATAAGCAGGAGGCATTTGAGCAGAGATTCTGAGATGCCAAACCCAGAGCTACATTTTTATCAACCAGCTCTGTCTTCACGAACACGTCCACAGTTCCCAGTACAGACCTTCTTTCAACTTCTCACAACTGACAGGGAGGCTTAAGAAGATCTTTCACATTTCCAAAAGAAGTCTAAAGTGATTCTGAACCTGCTCGTTATTTCCATTCAATTTCTCCTCCTGTCCGTTTCATGATGCCTCTTTCTTCTTAAGTGAAAAAAGCAAAGCTGTATAAACTATATGATCTCAACAGTATTAAAACGTGATAGGAGAGGAATTTGTATGGTGATTTTTTCTGAGTGATGAAAATATGAGTGATTCCATCCTTTTATGCTTTTTGCCTGTAACATATTTTCTCTTATCAGCATATCTTTCTTACAGAAACTGAGACTCACATAATTCATATTTATGGGGTTTATTGCATAAAGAATATATGCAACAATTTGACAGCTGTTGGTATAATATGGAACTTGTGACTTGCTGGGTGACCATCACTGTGTTTGAAAATCAAAATACTCAAACCTTAACTATTTTCTCTTTTATCCAGACTTCCTAGTCATGCTTTAGGATTTTTTTCTTCATTTATTTTAATTATTATCATCATACTCATGATAAGAATGTATGTTAAGGACGGAAGAGAGAAGGGTGTCTGGGGGGTTCAGTCAGTTAAGCATCTGACTCTTGATTTCGGCTCAGGTCATGATCTCACGGTTCATGAGTTCGAGCCCCGCGTCGGACTCTGTGCTGATGGTGCAGAGCCTTAAATGACAAGGAATTCTCCTTGTCAACTTGCAGAGCATCCAATCACAGAAGACTGACCAAAACCCAAGCCAAAACAAAAGAGGGACAGTTAACGCTAAAACATTTCTTCAACTTTGTCTGAGCCAAAGCCACTCTGAAATTAACCAAAAGGGAATTGTTGCTGTTCACCTTCATTAGCACAAACAGTTAAAAAATGTTCCAAACCCAGAAGCTTCAGCCAACCCTCTTAAAACAGAGGGACGCTATCTGGGTGATAATTGCCAAGGACTCCTTTCCTGCTGCTGAAGATGTTTCCTGCATTACAGCTAATAGGCCAAGTACCCGGGGTTGCCATGGTTGCTATGACAAACATTTTGTTCCTTGCACCAAACAATAAATGTGTTTTCAAAATGATGAGAGAACCCTGAAGATACTATTTGCAGTTACTCTGAAGACACACCAGCCCACACTAGCTTTCTGTGTCTGAGTTATTCTCTAAATTGGGGGTGTAACATACACACAGATACCTGTGTTTGGCAAGTCAAAGGTGTTGACTAAAGCAGTGCTGCCTGTAATTGTGGCTAAGGTATTGATGATTATTAACCGCAATCCCCACAATCCTTGCAGTTGAAATTTAGGAGATTTTAATGCACATTTCAAGGAAGATTTTGATTTTAAAGGAAAAGTAACTTTACATTTTTATGTCACCTAGAATTTTCCAATCGTTTTCAAATATGAGATCCTGCATGATTTTGATGCTGTATCTTAATTTATTCCTAGCACAGCCCAAGCCCCCATACTCTACCTGTGCATTATGTGACTTTTGGGGACAGGATGGGAAAAGGAGATTATGGACCAAAAGCCCAGAGACCTGGTTCAAGGCACAGTTCTGCTCCTGAGGTTAGACTGGATGAGAAATTCTCAGAGGTGTTCCATCATCAGAAACACCTTGAGGCCTTGTAAAGATGATAATATACATCCTTGGGCCTTCTCGTTGATAATGTATTCAGACGCCTAACCTGAGAATCTGTTTTTGTTGTTGTTGTTGTTTTGTTTTGTTTTTTAGAAAGGTGTTTCTGACCTGCTGAGTGGTTTGTGAAAAACTCGATGAGACAGCTTCTACGGTTTCCATTCTAATATTTTACAGATGAGATTTGCTTTATTTATCTACTTAGTAGACCGACATAGCTTAAATCTAATATGCTATTTTTGATGATCAAAAATAACAACAACAAATAACCACATGAAATTGCCTCTGGATTTAAGATGGGCACCCTTCTCTCCCAATTCCTCACACCAGACACAGAGGTGTAGTTAAATGGAGACTTAAAATTGCCAAGGAAATCTGAAACTTTGTGAATTGGGAAATATCCATCTCTGTTCTTGCATCAATAGTTATTATCACTCCCAGTTAAGCCTATTGTTCCTTCCCATCACCCCCATTATGCAAGCCCTTGAAGTGTTCATTCATATCCACTATTAGATAACAGATGGTCCTTGCTCAGTGCTCAGCACCACCCTGTGCACTTGGCACACACGGACTCATTCATCCTCACAGTTATCTCTGCAACATAGATATTAATTATTATGATTATGTCCATTTTACAGGTGGCGACACTGAGGCCAGAAAGGTTGGACAGCTTTTCCAAGAACACATGACTACACAACTAGTAAGTGGCAGAACAGGGGATTCCAACTCACAAAACCAGGACCCAGAGCCCAATCTCTTAACTATTCAGCGACACCACCTCTCCACAGGATGGTCAGAGAACCCCCCTCCTGTTCCTTTTCCTTCTCCAAAACAGCAATTATCACTAGAAACATAATTCTTTGCACGTTTTCAACATCTCACCTGATTCTCATAGCAATCAGCAATATATTTTTAAATTTCCATTTATGAGAGAATAAAGCAGCCTCAAAGAGTCAACCAGCTTATCGTGGGGAGAGACCCAACATTCTGATGTCTCACCGATGATGCTTCTTCATGGAGAATTCTAAACAGGTTTAAAGGAAGACCAAAGAGGCATGTCTTCTGACACCCAGCCAGCTCCCTTCCCAGCCCTTTACACCATGATACTTATTCCCCACTTTACATACCAGGAGAAGCTTGGAGCATGAGACAGAATAACTGGTAGAAGGCAGA